TGATCTGCCGCACGTCGCTCGTGACCTGATGACCTTTGACCTGTGGTGACCATGACATCACAAAGAGTAAAATAAAACCTTCTGTGTTGATAAGATATGAATGTAAACAATTTAATCTCATGTTTTCTTTGTTTGACTGAGTGAGGAGGAGTTCTGATGAAGGATGGGGAGGGCTGCCATTGGCTGCTTGTGTTTCAGGAGGCGGGACCTAAGCTCTGATTGGTTGTTTGTCTCAATAAAAGAGGAAAAACTTCAGAAAAGTTCACTTCTTCAGAAACCCACCGACACTCAGGTACGAACGCATTCCTTCTACTTCCACTGGTTTCTACTTCCTACTTCCTCTCTCGCCCCTCATCTTTCTCTCTCTCTTCTATTGATCGGTCGTTTCCTCCTCCTCTTCCTCTCTTGCCCCTCATCTCTCTCTCTTCTATTGATCGGTCGTTTCCTCCTCCTCTTCCTCTCTCGCCCCTCATCTCTCTCTCTCTCTTCTATTGATCGGTCGTTTCCTCCTCCTCTTCCTCTCTCGCCCCACATCTCTCTCTCTCTCCCTTTGATGATAGTCTTTTTCTCTGACAGGAGGTCTCACTCTTACACATTTTCCACTCCTCACCTTCGTCATCATCATATCACCATCATGACTGACTGGACCGACTGTCTGAACTTCGGTATCTCTATCGCCAAACAGGCCAGTGAGGTAAGAGACGCACCAACCAATCACAGCGCAGCGTTCAGGGGTCAGAGAGCTTTATTAAAAGGTGTAACAGCCTTAAATAAAATCATCTGAATCCTTCTTTATTTAATTTAAAGTTTTTATCTCAAAGCAGCTCAACTCTTTCATTCCTTCAAACCCTGTCGACCAATCAGACGACACATCACTGTGATGTCACTGTGCGACAAAAATGCTTAGTCGGCAGTAAGTTTCTTTTTTTTCAATTATTTGATTTGAATTCATTTTACCCCAAAGTCACAAGAGTGAGCTGTCTTTCAGCAGCACCACACTGACATTCAGCCAATTAGATCCCCTGTTCTATTGCTCCTGTTTGATTGCTCCTGTTCTATTGCTCCTGTTCTATTGCTCCTGTTTGATTGCTCCTGTTCTATTGCTCCTGTTCGATTGCTCCTGTTTGATTGCTCCTGTTTGACTTCTCTGTTTGATTGCTTCTGTTTGACTGCTCCTGTTTGACTGCTCCTCTTCTATTGCTCCTGTTTGATTGCTCCTGTTTGATTGCTCCTGTTTGACTGCTCCTGTTTGACTGCTCCTGTTTTAATATAAATAGGTATGAAAAATAAAGTGGGGTAGGATGCGTTATATGCTTTTCCAATCTGGTCCTGAGATCTTGATGATGTCCTTGTTCCTGTGTTCTAATGAGATCTTGATGATGTCCTTGTTCCTGTGTTCTAATGAGATCTTGATGATGTCCTTGTTCCTGTGTTCTAATGAGATCCTGATGATGTCCTTGTTCCTGTGTTCTAATGAGATCCTGATGATGTCCTTGTTCCTGTGTTCTAAAGTTTGTGTGTTTTAAAGTGTTCTACTTGGACTGATACCTGAGTGTGTGTTCCAGGTGGTTCTGTTGGCGTTCCAGCAGCAGAAAGATGTGAAGCTTAAAAGTTCTCCGGCTGATCTGGTGACAGAAACGGATCAACAAGTCGAGAAGATCCTCATCTCTGCCATCAGGAACAAATACCCAGATCACAGGTCCGACGGTGTTCTCCTGTTCTACTGTGTTCTACTGAGTTCTACTGTGTTCTAATGTGTTCTCCTATTCTACTGTGTTCTAATGTGTTCTCCTGTGTTCTATTGTATTCTCCTGTGTTCTATTGTGTTCTCCTGTTCTACTGTGTTCTAATGTGTTCTACTGTGTTCTACTGAGTTCTACTGTGTTCTCCTGTTCTATTGTGTTCTAATGTGTTCTCCTGTTCTTCTGTGTTATACTGAGTTCTACTGTGTTCTCCTATTCTACTGTGTTCTCCTGTTCTACTGAGTTCTAATGTGTTCTCCTGTTCTACTGTGTTCTATTGTGTTCTACTGTGATCTATTGTGTTTTCCTGTGTTCTACTGTGTTCTTTTGTGTTCTCCTGTGTTCTATTGAGTTCTACTGGGTTCTATTGTGTTCTACTGAGTTCTACTGTGTTCTATTGTGTTCTCCTGTGTTCTATTGAGTTCTATTGTATTATACTGTGTTCTATTGTGTTCCCCTGTGTTCTACTGTGTACTATTGTGTTCTACTGTGTTATTTTGTGTTCTACTGTGTTCTATTGTATTCTATTGTGTTCTCCTATTCTAATATGTTCTACTGTGTTCTATTTTGTTCTACTGTGTTCTATTGTATTTTATTGTGTTCTCCTGTTCTAATGTGTTCTATTGTATTTTATTGTGTTCTCCTGTTCTAATGTGTTCTACTGTGTTCTACTGTGTTCTTTTGTGTTCTATTGTATTCTATTGTGTTCTCCTATTCTAATATGTTCTACTGTGTTCTCCTGTTCTACTGAGTTCTAATGTGTTCTCCTGTTCCACTGTGTTCTATTGTGTTCTCCTGTGTTCTATTGAGTTCTATTGTATTATACTGTGTTCTATTGTGTTCCCCTGTGTTCTACTGTGTTCTATTGTGTTCTACTGTGTTATTTTGTGTTCTACTGTGTTCTTTTGTGTTCTATTGTGTTCTACTGTGTTCTACTGTATTTTATTGTGTTCTCCTGTTCTAATGTGTTCTACTGTGTTCTACTGTGTTCTTTTGTGTTCTATTGTATTCTACTGTGTTCTCCTATTCTAAAATGTTCTACTGTGTTCTCCTGTTCTCCTGTTCTACTGTGTTCTAATGTGTTCTCCTGTTCTACTGTGTTATACTGTCTTCTATTGTGTTCTACTGTGTTCTATTGTATTTATTGTGTTCTCCTGTTCTAATGTGTTCTACTGTGTTCTACTGTGTTCTACTGTGTTCTTTTGTGTTCTACTGTGTTTTATTGTGTTCTATTGTGTTCTACTGTGATCGTTTGTGTTCTCCTGTGTTCTACTGTGGCCTTTTGTGTTCTATTGTGTTCTACTGTGTTCTTTTGTGTTCTATTGTGTTCTACTGTGTTCTCCTGTTCTACTGTGTTCTACTGAGTTCTACTGTGATCTATTGTGTTCTCCTGTGTTCTAATGATTTCTATTGTATTCTACTGTGTTCTATTGTGTTTTCCTGTGTTCTCCTGTGTTCTCCTGTGTTCTATTGTGTTCCACTGTGTTCTATTGTGTTCTATTGTGTTCTACTGTGTTCTTTTGTGTTCTACTGTGTTCTATTGTGTTCTCCTGTTCTAATTGTGTTCTCCTGTTCTAATGTGTTTTACTGTGTTCTATTGTGTTCTTTGTGTTCTATTGTGTTCTCCTGTGTTCTATTGAGTTCTATTGTATTCTACTGTGTTCTATTGTGTTCTCCTGTGTTTTACTGTGTTCTTTTGTGTTCTACTGTGTTCTTTTGTGTTCTACTGTGTTCTACTGTGTTCTTTGTGTCTAATGTGTTTTACTGTGTTCTACTGAGTTCTATTGTTTCTATTGTGTTCTCCTGTGTTCTATTGAGTTCTATTGTATTCTACTGTGTTCTATTGTGTTCTATTGTGTTCTCCTATTCAACTGTGTTCTACTGAGTTCTACTGTGTTCTATTGTGTTCTCCTGTGTTCTACTGTGTTCTATCGGGTTCTACTGTGTTCTTTTGTGTTCTACTGTGTTCTACTGTGTTCTACTGTGTTTTAATGTGTTCTATTGAGTTCTATTGTGTTCGTTTGTGTTCTATTGTGGCCTTTTGTGTTCTACTGTGTTCTTTTGTGTTCTATTGTGTTCTATTGTGTTCTCCTGTTCTAATGTGTTCTACTGTGTTCGTTTATGTTCTATTGTGTTCTACTGTGGCCTTTTGTGTTCTATTGTGTTCTACTGTGTTCTTTTGTGTTCTATTGTATTTTATTGTGTTCTCCTGTTCTATTGTGTTCTATTGTGTTCGTTTATGTTCTATTGTGTTCTACTGTGTTCTTTTGTGTTCTATTGTATTTTATTGTGTTCTCCTGTTCTAATGTGTTCTATTGTGTTCGTTTGTGTTCTATTGTGTTCTACTGTGGCCTTTTGTGTTCTATTGTGTTCTACTGTGTTCTTTTGTGTTCTTTTGTGTTCTACTGTGTTCTTTTGTGTTCTATTGTATTTTATTGTGTTCTCCTGTCCTAATGTGTTCTCCTGTTCTAATGTGTTCTACTGTGTTCTATTGTGTTCTATTGTGTTCTATTGTGTTCTATTGTGTTCTATTGTGTTCTCCTGTTCTACTGGGTTCTACTGAGTTCTCCTGTGTTCTATTGTGTTCTCCTGTGTTTTCCTGTGTTCTATTGTGTTCTACTGTGTTCTATTGTGTTATTTTGTGTTCTACTGTGTTCTATTGTGTTCTATTGTGTTTTTTTGTGTTCTATTGTGTTCTACTGTGTTCTATTGTATTTTATTGTGTTCTCCTGTTCTAATGTGTTCTCCTGTGTTCTACTGTGTTCTTTTGTGTTCTATTGTGTTCTCCTATTGTACTGTGTTCTACTGAGTTATACTGTGTTCTATTGTGTTCTCCTATGTTCTATAGAGTTCTACTGTATTCTACTGTGTTCTGTTGTGTTCTCCTGTGTTCTCCTGTGTTCTATTGTGTTCTTTTGTGTTCTACTGTGTTCTTTTGTGTTCTATTGTATTCTATTGTGTTCTCCTATTCTACTGTGTTCTACTGAGTTATACTGTGTTCTATTGAGTTCTATTGTATACTACTGTGTTCTATTGAGTTCTATTTTATTCTACTGTGTTCTATTGTGTTCTCCTGTGTTCTATTGTGTTCTACTGTGTTCTATTGTGTTCTTTTGTGTTCTACTGTGTTCTTTTGTGTTCTATTGTGTTCTACTGTGTTCTCCTGTTCTATTGTGTTCTTTTGTGTTCTATTGTGTTCTCCTGGTCTAATGTGTTTTCCTGTTCTAATGTGTTTTCCTGTTCTAATGTGTTCTACTGTGTTCTATTGTGTTCTACTGTGTTCTCCTGTTCTAATGTGTTCTACTGTGTTCTATTGTGTTCTACTGTATTCTACTGTGTTCTACTGTGTTCTATTGTGTTCTCCTGTGCTCTACTGTGTTCTATTGTGTTCTTTTGTGTTCTTTTGTGTTTTGTGTTCTCTTGTGTTGTATTGTATTATACTGCATTCTATTATGTTCTATTGTGTTCTACTGTGTTCTTTTGTATTCTGTTGTGTTCTATTGTGTTCTACTGTGTTCTTTTGTATTCTATTGTGTTCTCCTGTTCTAATGTGTTTTCCTGTTCTTCTGTGTTCTAATGTGTTCTATTGTGTTCTACTGTATTCTACTGTGTTCTATTGTGTTCTCCTTTGTTCTATTGTGTTCTATTGTGTTCTTTTGTGTTCTACTGTGTTCTTTTGTGTTCTACTATGTTCTATTGTGTTCTACTGTGTTCTATTGTGTTCTTTTGTGTTCTACTGTGTTCTTTTGTGTTCTATTGTATTCTACTGTGTTCTTTTGTTTTCTATTGTGTTCTACTGTGTTCTATTGTATTCTATTGTGTTCTCCTGTTCTAAAGTGTTCTCCTGTTCTACTGTGTTCTCCTGTTCCACTGTGTTCTATTAAGTTCTATTGTGTTCTATTGTGTTCTATTGTGTTCTATTGTGTTCCTGTAATCTACTGTGTTCTTTTGTGTTCTATTGTGCTCTCCTGTGTTCTACTGCGTTCTATTGTGTTCTACTGTGTTCTCCTGTTTTTGTTTGTGTTCTACTGTGTTCCTTTGTGTTCTATTGTGTTCTGCTTTGTTCTTTTGTGTTCTTTTGTGTTCTTTTGTGTTCTACTGTGTTCTACTTTGTTCATTGTATTTTATTGTGTTCTCCTGTTTCCTGTGTTCTATTGTGTTCTACTGTGTTCTACTGTGTTCTTTTGTGTTCTATTGTATTCTATTGTGTTCTCCTGTTCTAATGTGTTCTACTATGTTCTCCTGTTCGATTGTGTTCTACTGAGTTCTACTGTGTTCTATTGTGTTCTCCTGTGTTCTATTGCATTTTATTGTATTCTACTGTGTTCTATTGTGTTCTCCTGTGTTCTACTGTGTTCTATTGTGTTCTACTGTGTTCTATTATGTTCTTTTGTGTAGTACTGTGTTCTCCTGTGTCCTACTGTGTTCTACTGTGTTCTTTTGTGCTCTATTATGTTCTACTGTGTTCTCCTATTCTAATGTGTTCTACTGTGTTCTCCTGTTTTACTGTGTTCTATTGAGTTTTATTGTATTCTACTGTCTTCTATTGTGTTCTCCTGTGTTCTATTGTGTTCTACTATGTTCTATTATGTTCTTTTGTGTTCTACTGTGTTCTATTATGTTCTTTTGTGTTCTACTGTGTTCTTTTGTGTTCTTTTGTGTTCTATTGTGTTCTACTGTGTTCTACTGTGTTCTATTGTGTTGTCCTGTGTTCTACTGTGTGCTTTTGTGTTCTCTTGTGTTCTCTTGTGTTCTATTGTGTTCTACTGTGTTCTTTTGTGTTCTATTGAGTTCTACTGTTTTCTACTGATGAAAGCAGTTAAGGAACAGAATGACCACAGACCAGGACTTTTCGGGTTCTTCTTAGAACACTTACTTAGCAGCTGGTACATCACAGTGTAATGATTCTGATTGGACAGCAGATAGGGAGTAATTAGATAGAAGGTGACCTCTGACCTGTGACCCTCAGGTTCATAGGGGAGGAGTCAGTGGCGGCAGGTGAGCGTCTGGAGCTGACCGACAGCCCCACCTGGATCATCGACCCCATTGATGGGACTGTGAACTTCGTACACAGGTGAGGGGGCGTGGCTTTGCCCACACTGTGATGTCACAGGCAGGAAGGTTACACCTCCTGAACTGTTTGTTTTTTCTCCTGACAGGTTTCCATTCGTGGCCATCTCCATCGCTTTCACCGTCAACAAGCAGGTAAACTTGCCGTCCAGATACAGGTCATAGGTCAGCAGGGGGTGGAGCTCAGCAACTTGACGTGTTGTTGTTGGCTCTTTTTGTCAGACGGAATTTGGCGTAGTTTACAGCTGCGTGGAGGACAAAATGTTTTACGCTCAGAGAGGAAAAGGAGCGTTTGTGAACGGAGAACCTCTGTATGCCTCAGGACAGGAAGGTGACATCACACACACTTGACATCACACACAAGTGACATCACACACGTCACATCACACAAGGGCGGCTGTGGCTCAGTTGGTAGAGTCGTTGACTCTCAACCAGAAGGTCAAGGGTTCAATCCCCAGCGGGGCAACATGTCCGATGTGTCCTTGGGCAAGACACCCTGAATTGCTCCCACTGCATCAGTGTGCTTCAGAATGTGTAGGTGTGACCTGCGGTGTAAAAGTGCGTTGAGTAGTCGGAAGTCCATTTACGTGACATCACACACGTCACTGGAAGCCTGAGGTGACTTTTCTGACTGTCCTGTCTCCTCCAATCAGATGTCAGCAGGTGTGTGGTGGTGACGGAGATCGGGGCAGAACGTGATGACCTCTCCCTGTCCACCATGACCTCCAACATCTTCAGGCTGCTCCAACTTCCTGTTCACGGGTAGCAACACCACTATGACTCTCTTGTGTTTTACACTGTTTGTTCATACATCTTCAGACTGTGTGTGTGTTGTTGCCAGATGTTTGTCTGATGTTTTGCCAGATGTTTGTCTGATCTTTAGCCAGATGTTTTGCCAGATGTTTGTCTGATCTTTAGCCAGATGTTTTGCCAGATGTTTGTCTGATGTTTGTCTGATGTTTGTCTGATGTTTGTCTGACGTTTGTCTGATGTTTTGCCAGATGTTTTGCCAGATGTTCGTCTGATGTTTGTCTGATCTTTAGCCAGATGTTTTGCCAGATGTTTGTCTGATGTTTGTCTGATGTTTGTCTGATGTTTGTCTGATGTTTGTCTGACGTTTGTCTGATGTTTTGCCAGATGTTTTGCCAGATGTTTGTCTGATGTTTGTCTGATCTTTAGCCAGATGTTTTGCCAGATGTTTGTCTGATCTTTAGCCAGACGTTTTGCCAGATGTTTTGCCAGATGTTTGTCTGATCTTTAGCCAGACGTTTTGCCAGATGTTTTGCCAGATGTTTGTCTGATCTTTAGCCAGATGTTTGTCTGATGTTTGCCAGATGTTTTGCCAGATGTTTGCCTGTTTTCCTGATGATTTGCATGTTTTGCATGTTCCAGTGTTCGTGCGATGGGGACGGCGGCGGTCGATATGTGTCAGGTGGCGACGGGTGGAGCTGATGCTTATTATCACATCGGGATGCACTGTTGGGACATTGCTGCCTCTGCCATCATTGTCCAGGAGGCAGGAGGTGTTGTCATGGATACTGACGGTAGGTATCTGACTGATGATGTCATGTATTACCTGGGGGTACCTGTTTAGGGGCGTGTCCTTCATAAATATGTGAGTGTGTCTCCTCAGGCTCAGACTTTGACATGATGTCCAGGAGAGTCATCGCTGCCAGCTCCTCAGCTGTGGCCAATAGCATCGCTCATGCCATTCAGGCATTTCCATGTCGCCGTGACGATGAGGACCCCTGCAGGTGTGTCTGCGGAGCGAATGGAGTGTAGGTCAGCTGACAGGAAGTGTGACAGAGGCGTTTGTGCAGAACGTTGAGCTGCTGATAAAGTTTGAGAAGAATAAAAATGTGAAAAGCAGCGAAATTGTCAACTCATTTATTCTAAAAAGCCTGTTTTTACAGCAGAGATGAACATGTTTACAGCCTGGTTCAAAAAACCAAACAGGTGTGATTAGCTCATGTCTGGATGGACACACACTGTACGGGGGGTGAATGTTTTGATGACTCATCAGTTTTGATTTGATGAAGGATAAGAGTTATTCACAATAAGGCGTGTAGCTGACCTGATTGACAGGTGGGCGCGGTGTAACGGTTTGTCAGGAGGTTTAAAACCCGCCTCAGCTCCAGCTCTCAGCCTGTCGTTAGGTTGACTGAAAGTTAGACTGAGACAGCATTTCCAGCATGGAGACCGCCATCGATGGGACTCCAGCGCCCCCTGCAGGACACACGGGTGACTCAGGCTTCAGTAACATTTACAGTCTGTGTTGTAGATGATTGTAGAATTTGAGTGGGGACCAGCACAGAGTAAAGGGGAATGGCAGCTGAAGGAGCTTTTAGAGTGGAACAGAACAGAAAATAAATCATTCAAATATCTGAACTCTGGCAGAAAAACTATAACAAGGACGGTAAGGATAAATCGTACTGCAGAATACTACCTCTACCTCTAAAGCCTCTAATTATTATTATTATTATTATTATTATTATTATTATAATTATAATTATTATTATTATTGTTATTATTGCTATTATCATTGTTATTATAATAATAATTATTGTTATTATTGTTATTATTGTTGTTGTTATTATTATTATTGTTATTATAATAATAATTATTATTATTGTTGTTATTATTATTATTATTATAATTATAATTATTATTAATTATTATTGCTGTTATTATTATTATTGTTATTATAATAATAATAATTATCATTATTGTTATTGTTAATATGATTATTATTATTGTTGTTATTATTATTATTATTATTGTTATTATTGTTATTAGTAGTATTAGTATAATTATTGTTTTTATTGTTATCTAATATTTTCTTCTTAACACTCCGGGACAGTAAGTGGCGGTATGTGCCTATACGTTAGGATAGCAATCCGCCAAAACACACGAAGAAGAAAAAGACACGAAGAAGAAGAAAAAGAGGAAGGGAACCCGGAAGTGAGCGGAACCGCTAATCCGCTGCAGCAGATTGTCGTCCGGCTGCGCGCAGGTGAGATTTATGATGTTTACGTTGTTGTTGTTGTTATTGTTGTTACGTCATGTTACGTCATGCCCAGATCCACTAACACCAGGGTCTCTGTGAGTCCAGATCCACTAACACCAGGGTCTCTCTGGGTCCAGATCCACTAACACCAGGGTCTCTGTGGGTCCAGATCCACTAACACCAGGGTCTCTCTGGTCCAGATCCACTAACACCAGAGTCTCTGTGGGTCCAGATCCACTAACACCAGGGTCTCTGTGGGTCCAGATCCACTAACACCAGAGTCTCTGTGGGTCCAGATCCACTAACACCAGGGTCTCTGTGAGTCCAGATCCACTAACACCAGGGTCTCTGTGAGTCCAGATCCACTAACACCAGGGTCTCTGTGAGTCCACTAACACCAGGGTCTCTGTGAGTCCACTAACACCAGGGTCTCTGTGAGTCCAGATCCACTAACACCAGGGTCTCTGTGAGTCCAGATCCACTAACACCAGGGTCTCTGTGGGTCCACTAACACCAGGGTCTCTGTGGGTCCAGATCCACTAACACCAGGGTCTCTGTGAGTCCAGATCCACTAACACCAGGGTCTCTGTGAGTCCAGATCCACTAACACCAGGGTCTCTGTGAGTCCACTAACACCAGGGTCTCTGTGGGTCCAGATCCACTAACACCAGGGTCTCTGTGAGTCCAGATCCACTAACACCAGGGTCTCTGTGAGTCCAGATCCACTAACACCAGGGTCTCTGTGGGTCCACTAACACCAGGGTCTCTGTGGGTCCAGATCCACTAACACCAGGGTCTCTGTGGGTCCAGATCCACTAACACCAGGGTCTCTGTGAGTCCAGATCCACTAACACCAGGGTCTCTGTGAGTCCAGATCCACTAACACCAGGGTCTCTGTGAGTCCAGATCCACTAACACCAGGGTCTCTCTGGGTCCACTAACACCAGAGTCTCTGTGGGTCCAGATCCACTAACACCAGGGTCTCTGTGGGTCCAGATCCACTAACACCAGGGTCTCTGTGGGTCCAGATCCACTAACACCAGGGTCTCTGTGAGTCCAGATCCACTAACACCAGGGTCTCTGTGGGTCCAGATCCACTAACACCAGGGTCTCTGTGAGTCCAGATCCACTAACACCAGGGTCTCTGTGAGTCCAGATCCACTAACACCAGGGTCTCTGTGAGTCCAGATCCACTAACACCAGGGTCTCTCTGGGTCCACTAACACCAGAGTCTCTGTGGTCCAGATCCACTAACACCAGGGTCTCTGTGGGTCCAGATCCACTAACACCAGGGTCTCTGTGGGTCCAGATCCACTAACACCAGGGTCTCTGTGAGTCCAGATCCACTAACACCAGGGTCTCTGTGAGTCCAGATCCACTAACACCAGGGTCTCTCTGGGTCCACTAACACCAGAGTCTCTGTGGGTCCAGATCCACTAACACCAGGGTCTCTGTGGGTCCAGATCCACTAACACCAGAGTCTCTGTGGGTCCAGATCCACTAACACCAGGGTCTCTGTGGGTCCAGATCCACCAACACCAGGGTCTCTGTGGGTCCAGATCCACCAACACCAGGGTCTCTGTGGGTCCACTAACACCAGAGTCTCTGTGGGTCCAGATCCACTAACACCAGGGTCTCTGTGGGTCCACTAACACCAGAGTCTCTGTGGGTCCAGATCCACTAACACCAGGGTCTCTGTGGGTCCAGATCCACCAACACCAGGGTCTCTGTGGGTCCACTAACACCAGAGTCTCTGTGGGTCCAGATCCACTAACACCAGGGTCTCTGTGGGTCCACTAACACCAGAGTCTCTGTGGGTCCAGATCCACTAACACCAGGGTCTCTGTGGGTCCACTAACACCAGAGTCTCTGTGGGTCCAGATCCACTAACACCAGGGTCTCTGTGGGTCCAGATCCACCAACACCAGGGTCTCTGTGGGTCCAGATCCACTAACACCAGGGTCTCTGTGGGTCCAGATCCACTAACACCAGGGTCTCTGTGAGTCCAGATCCACTAACACCAGGGTCTCTGTGAGTCCAGATCCACTAACACCAGGGTCTCTGTGAGTCCAGATCCACTAACACCAGGGTCTCTGTGAGTCCAGATCCACTAACACCAGGGTCTCTGTGGGTCCAGATCCACTAACACCAGGGTCTCTGTGGGTCCAGATCCACTAACACCAGGGTCTCTGTGAGTCCACTAACACCAGGGTCTCTGTGGGTCCAGATCCACTAACACCAGGGTCTCTGTGAGTCCAGATCCACTAACACCAGGGTCTCTGTGAGTCCAGATCCACTAACACCAGGGTCTCTGTGGTCCACTAACACCAGGGTCTCTGTGGGTCCAGATCCACTAACACCAGGGTCTCTGTGGGTCCAGATCCACTAACACCAGGGTCTCTGTGGGTCCAGATCCACTAACACCAGGGTCTCTGTGAGTCCACTAACACCAGGGTCTCTGTGGGTCCAGATCCACTAACACCAAGGTCTCTGTGGGTCCAGATCCACTAACACCAGGGTCTCTGTGGGTCCAGATCCACTAACACCAAGGTCTCTGTGGGTCCAGATCCACTAACACCAGGGTCTCTGTGGGTCCAGATCCACTAACACCAGGGTCTCTGTGGGTCCAGATCCACTAACACCAAGGTCTCTGTGGGTCCAGATCCACTAACACCAGGATCTCTGTGAGTCCACTAACACCAGGGTCTCTGTGGGTCCAGATCCACTAACACCAGGGTCTCTGTGAGTCCACTAACACCAGGGTCTCTGTGGGTCCAGATCCACTAACACCAAGGTCTCTGTGGGTCCAGATCCACTAACACCAGGGTCTCTGTGGGTCCAGATCCACTAACACCAGGGTCTCTGTGGGTCCAGATCCACTAACACCAGGGTCTCTGTGAGTCCAGATCCACTAACACCAGGGTCTCTGTGGGTCCAGATCCACTAACACCAGGGTCCTGTGAGTCCAGATCCACTAACACCAGGGTCTCTGTGGGTCCAGATCCACTACACCAGGGTTTCTGTGAGTCCACTAACACCACGGTCTCTGTGGGTCCAGATCCACTAACACCAGGGTCTCTGTGGGTCCAGATCCACTAACACCAGGGTCTCTGTGAGTCCAGATCCACTAACACCAGGGTCTCTGTGGGTCCAGATCCACTAACACCAGGGTCTCTGTGAGTCCACTAACACCAGGGTCTCTGTGGGTCCAGATCCACTAACACCAGGTCTCTGTGAGTCCAGATCCACTAACACCAGGGTCTCTGTGGGTCCAGATCCACTAACACCAGGGTCTCTGTGAGTCCACTAACACCAGGGTCTCTGTGGGTCCAGATCCACTAACACCAGGGTCTCTGTGGGTCCAGATCCACTAACACCAGGGTCTCGTGTGGGTCCAGATCCACACAACCCAGGGTCTCTGTGGGTCCAGATCCACTAACACCAGGGTCTCTGTGAGTCCACTAACACCAGGGTCTCTGTGGGTCCAGATCCACTAACACCAGGGTCTCTGTGAGTCCAGATCCACTAACACCAGGGTCTCTGTGGGTCCAGATCCACTAACACCAGGGTCTCTGTGGGTCCAGATCCACTAACACCAGGGTCTCTGTGGGTCCAGATCCACTAACACCAGGGTCTCTGTGGGTCCACTAACACCAGGGTCTCTGTGAGTCCAGATCCACTAACACCAGGGTCTCTGTGGGTCCAGATCCACTAACACCAGGGTCTCTGTGGGTCCAGATCCACTAACACCAGGGTCTCTGTGGGTCCAGATCCA